CGGCAGGAACTGGCCTGGTTCCCTCCCTTTGTGTGTCTTGGGAGGGGCAATTGCTGAGCAAACAGGGAAGGGAAATCCTGGATTCTGCCTCTCTTTTCCGCTTGATCAGCCCGTTACTCAGCCCCAAGGGCCTCTAGGGCCCACTCAGGCATGGCTCCTTCCTGGCCCTGTGTGTGGGGAGGGGGGCTGGGGTGGTGGGTATATATTCACCCAGGGCTTGGCCTTGGTGAATTCTCAGAAAAAATAAACCCCAGTCTAGGGGCATGAACAGAGTTCACTGACCAGTTATTGTGGTCCGGGCCCTGGGCTGGGCCCTACACTTGTCAGAGCTCCCTGACACTGCCCAGTCACCCTAGGATGTCGCTATCTGGATCTCCAGTTTCCAGAGAGGAACCTGAGATTCAGGGTCGAAAAGGAGGATGTTGGCAGAGGTGGGAATCCCACCCAGACCTCTCTGACCCCCACACTGTGCTCTGAAGCTCAAGCTCACCCCTCCTCTTGGAGGAGCAGCAGGGGGAGGGGGGAGGGGCAGGGTTTGCATGGGAACTCTCCCCTTCACCTCTTCTTTCTCCCCCAGAGACCAAGACCCCCAACCGGGCAGGCAGAACTCTCCCCATGGCTGAGTTCCTGCCCCTGCTGCCTTGCGCACCCCTGCTGACCCAGGATGGCGGTGCCCAGGACTCACCTGTCCCCCCAGCCAAGTGGCAGAGCCAGCAGCCACAGGGTGGCAGGGCCCAGAGCCTGGCCTCTAAGCCCTGGAGGCTCCCAGAGGTCCCCTCCATTCAGATAACGCCAGCCAGCGATGGGGAGTCACCCCCCTGCACCCCACCTCCCCAGCGCCTGCAGCTGCCGAGGACCCCAGACCTGGAGAGTTTGCCCCAGGACAGGTCAGACCTGGGTGGTGGGATGGGAAAGGGGTTCTCCCTCTCCCTCTCTCCCCCTCCCCCTCCCCCTCTCCCCCTCCCCCTCTCCCTCTCCCTCTCCCTCTCCCTCTTCCTCTCCCTCCCCACAGGGTGGGTTCCCTGTGGCTGGCACTCCAGGTGGGGAGCTGAAGGTCAGTTAGAATGTGGCCTTAGCCCCACAGGGGCCTGACTGGAAGCTGTGAAATAGATGCAGATAAAAATTGCAGCTGGGAATATGTGTTGGGATAACCAACTGAGCTCAGCTGAGCACTGCTTACTAAGACCAGAGGCGAACATTCTCTTTTGACCCCCCCTGGTGTTTTTCAAACTGTGGGTCATGACCCATTTAAGGGCTGCTGCAATTGCTGCAATTGCGACACAGCAATCAACACATTTTCCCAAATAGAATCAGGAGAGAATCGAAAATAACAGTGTTAAAAAAAAAAAAGAAAATAACACACCGTACAAAGCAGTGAACAAGTGTGGCTTCCTACAAATTTTGTGACATTACATATACAGCTGTCCCCGGTATCCATGGGGGTATTCCAAGACCCCTGCAGATACCAAACTTTGCAGATGCTTAAATCTCTTATATAGGGCTTCCCTGGTGGCGCAGTGGTTGAGAGTCCGCCTGCCGATGCAGGGGATGCGGATTCGTGCCCCGGTCTGGGAAGATCCCACATGCCGTGGAGCGGCTGGGCCCGTGAGCCATGGCCGCTGAGCCTGCGCATATGGAGCCTGTGCTCCGCAACGGGAGAGGCCACAACAGTGAGAGGCCCTTGTACCGCAAAAAACAAACAAACAAACAAACAAACAAATCTCTTATATAAAACGGTGTAGTATTTGCATATTACCTACTCACATTCTCCTGTATACTTTAAATTACCTCTTGATTACTTATAAAACCTAATGCAGTGTAAATACTATGTAAATGGTTGTAAATACTATGTAAATAGTTGCCAGCCAGCAAATTCAAGTTTTGCTTCCTGGATTTTTTTTTTTTTAATTGCAGTATAGTTGATTTACAATGTTGTGTTAGTTTTTGGTGTACAGCAATGTGATTCAGTTATACATACACATATATATCTATTCTTTTTCAGATTCTTTTCCATTACAGGTTATTACAAGATATTGAATATTGTTCCCTGTGGTATACAGTAGGTCCTTGCTGTTTATCTATTTTATATATAGTATTAATCCCAACTCCTAATTTATCCCTCCCCAGCCCCATTTTTTATACAAATATTAAATTATTTTGTACACCCGAAACTAATATATTATGTACCAATTAAAAAAAATTGAAGTGTAGTTAATTCACAATGTTGTGTTAGTTTCAAGTGTACCCCTCCTGGAATTAAAAAAAATTTTTTTTTCGACCCTTGATTGGTTGAATCCACAGATGTGGAATTTGCAGATACAGAGGGCTGACCATATTTTTAAGTGTGTACTTGGAAACCAATGTAAAAGGTATTTCCTGCTG